CTAATGTTTCCTGTCAACCCGAAGGATGACAATTTTTGCATTTTATGGTGTATTTCAATAATTCATTATTGTCTTCATTTCGTTTCTATGCTACCCTTGATCATCCTTTATCTTGAAAATTATTTTTACATATTGAGACTTTAAATTCTATCCGATTGGTTATACTGGTTTCTCTGCCCATTTGTGACTAATTTTTTTATCTCGAATCACAATTGTGTTTTAATCTTCATTGAACTTGATCTTTGTTACTAGGCTTGATTAAATATTTCTTGTAACTATCTAAAAAGAGCTAAATAGAAATGTATGAATTACGATTATACAAGCTTTGGAGAATGAAATTGCTGAAAAGATATCTTCACTGAACTTCTCGTTTTTTCCAACATCTTACATTTGATATAAGGAACATCAAATTTAGATTTTTGCTCTAAATCTATAGAAACCTGTATTCTGTCTGAAGATGCTGGCAGCAGTCAGTCTTCTGCATATTTAGAGTGACAGTCTGAGAATGTTTAGGATATATTTTTCACCACCCAAATGTGAAACATTGCTATAAAATTGGTATGAGTAGGTGCATGATCTAACAATACGGAGTAAATTGGGTAAGTGAGTCGACCAGTTCACTGATTTGGGAAGTTGGATCAGTCCTGGTGGGTTAATGAAAGATGAGATTTCTGCACGGATACATAAGGTTGATTGAGTTTTGCCAACACAGAATATTTATGACACCGCCACGATACCCTATTGCTGATAGAGAAATGAGTGTATTACTTATCAGTTTTCTCTGATCTACCACATAGCCGTGAAGTGTGGCTAGTACAAGTACAGGACATACGTAGGATTCAGCTGTCTGACCACCATTACCTTCGTAGCATCGACCATGTTGTGAAATGATTACGTCAATAACGCAGAAGTCAGGCGTAAATATTATGGTAAAAGAAGCAAGTCAACTCATAAGGTTTTTAACCTTTATCGAACCATCGCTGGTACACGTGTTACGTATGCCTCATCAGTATACAGATCGCGTAATATTAGCTGAAGCCGGTGGCATCAGCTCATGGAGCCTTTGAGTGTTGGTCTGAGTCATGTATTGAAATGTAGACTTCTCGGCTGCCGTGGAGTGACAGTCAAAATCAGTGGTTGGAGGCTCTAAGTTATACGGCTCAGAATCGATCACAGTACTGCAGATGCATTCACACAATAACTACGTCTAAAACGTCTTACCTAATTTAACTAATTATCTAATTATCTTTTGAAGAATTCATAGAACTTTTGACTTGTTTCTCATTGTCTGTTATCTCTGCACCTACTACCTTGTGCATACATAAAGGGTGGCAACTTGGGTGAGTGTGCAGTAATACAAGGTCCCAGATTGATGCCGACTGGCTGAATTTTGTCAACACCCTGACTAACAGAACTGTCATCTGAACGCCCTACATTAACTATGTAACCTCTGAGTAATAAAATAGCCCATCTAGTCTACAATATATAGTTAGACCGTCGGCACATCTAAGGAAAAATCACAATATAGATAGATTAATACCACAGCATATCAAAACATAACTGAATATTATGCATTATCAGGTTGGATAACCTCGCCCGGTTAACTAGTTCACTAGTTACTAGCCGGTCCTAAACCCGGATAAAAATGGAAGGTTGGGCATAAGGCTAGCAACCCTACACCGTAAAACCAATCTAACTGCTAAAGAAACATCAAAGAACAAAGAAAACATGAAAAACAAAATTAAACTTATTCCTCGCTGGAATCAGAGAGGCGAAATGACGCCACTTGGTGGAAGCCTTCGAGAAGCTAATCGGCCGATGTGTCTTCTCTCCCTCGATGAAAGCGGAAGTAAGGATGTAGACTTGGAATGTCTGCACCACGTTTGAACCTGGCAAGGTTGTCCAGATTGCAAAAGAGATGAGAAGGTATAGCATAGAAGTGCCAGGCTGGGAATCTGCGAAAGCAGATGGAATGGAAGTGGACTCTCCAAACTGTCAACTGGAGAGTCAATAATCTACTCCGATATTGTCACCCAGACGATAACCATGAGCACACTGAGTTTTGAAGTGGCTATCATGGTGCCCCCTACAGCATCGAAGGCTTTCATGAAGTGGGAACCAATCTCCTCCTGCAGAATCATGACAGCAAGGTTCAACTCAAAACGAAGGAAAGTCACAATCATACAATGCTACGTATGCACCTATAAATAATACAGATCAAGAGAAGTAGGGATTCTATAGACAACTGCAATCAGTCTAGGACAAGACTCTAGTTGGTGATATCAAAATTCATCCTAATGGGTGACATGAATGCCAAACTGGGAGCAGATAATACAGGAAGAAAATCAATCATGGATCCAGAGTCACTCGGTGAAATGATGAATGAGAATGGAGAACTGTTTGCAGACTTCTGCGCATTCAACGACTTGGTGATTGGAGGCACTGGGTACATCCACAAGGATATTCACAAATCAACATAGATCTGATTTCACCAGACACCATGACACACTAGAAATCAGATCGACTTCATCTTAATCTCAAGAAAGTGCAGACGCAGCCTACTGGACACAAGATCAGATCAAGAGGAACAGATGTAGGTTTATACCATCCACTACTTAGTGCAAGGAACCTAACTTCAAAATCAAGTTGAAAGCCTTCACAGAAGTTGGTGATTAGAGACTACAGTTCAAGTTTAACATCAAGAACAGAGACTAAAGGACGAAACTACAAGGAACATCTTCATTTCAGTCAGCCATCAGGACAGAATGGGAGACACTAGGCAACATCCCCATCCCCGAGGAAACCTGCATGGAAGAATACTGGAACTCTTTGAAAGCTATGCGGAGAGAAACCTGTATAACCTTGTTAGGAAAGAAGAAGAAACAAGACAAGACAAGGAATGGATCTCGACGCACACATGGAAGCTGATCGAGAAGGAAGAGGAAGATGGTGATGCAGAAGGTAAACCACCGCAATGCAGGGATGAACAAAGAAAAGAGGAACTGAATACAACCTATAAAACACTGGACAAAGAAGTGAAGGAGATTATGCGGAAAGACAAACTTCTACGACACACTGGCAAGTGAAGCAGAACAGGCTGCAGGTAGGTGACATAGACCTTACAACACTATATCAAATAACCAGGTTACTATCTGGGAAGAGATTAACGGAGATGAAACCGATGAGAGATAATCAAAGAAATTTAGTTACCAAAGTGGCGAAACATAGGAAACAATGGGCTGACCACTTCAAAATGCTCTTGAATCGACTACCGCCACCACCTGCAACTCGTCCAGAAATACCACCACCAGCCCAGCCCAGCCACAGAACTACCAGTGAACACAAGCCCTCCGACAAAAGCCAAAATCCTGAACGCCATAAAGTTGGTGAAATCCGGGAAAGCAGCGGGACCAGATGAAATTCCGCCAGAAGCACTGAAAACAGACGCAGGGACAACAGCGAGGATACTCACACCACTACTACAAAACGTTTGCAAGGAAGGAAGGAAAGGTACTTACCCACTGATTGGAAGAAGAGCTGCCTTGTCAAACTCCCAAAAGAAGGGAAACCTAAGTCTTCGCAAGAACTGGCGAGGAATTACGCTGCTGTCCACCCTAAGCAAAATATTAAGCCACATCATCCTAGAGAGATTAAGCAATGCACTGGATTCAAAATTACGACCGGAACAGGCTGGCTGGCTTCATGAAGAACAAATCATGTGTGGATCAAATTGCAACGCTACACTACGCATCATCACAGAACAGAGTATAGAATGGCAGTCAACTCAACCCAGCCTCAACTTCATCGGCTTTGAAACGGCCTTTGACAGCGTCGACCAAGAAATAATTTGGCAGCTGCTTCAACACTACGGTTTTAGTGCCACAAACATTTATCAACCTCATTCAACAGCTATATGATGCTACATGCCAAGTAATTCACGATGGAAAGCTTTGTGACACCTTTGAATTGAAGACGGGAGTAAGACAAGGCTGCCACCTACTATCACCGATCATCTTCCTGATCGTGGTGGTCTGGATCGTGCAGCGAACTGTGAGGAGGGAGAAGAGGGGTATACTCTGGGCGGATAAATGAGAAGACCCTAGAAGATTTGGATTTCGCCAATGACAATTTATGTCTAATATCTTGTCGCACAAGTTCGAAGATCTACAGGCGAAAACCAACATGTTGACAGAAGAGGCAGGGCATCGAAGACGGGACTTCAAATGAATCTGGAGATGATGATGATGAAGATACCCAACCAACAACAGCATCATCAACAAGCACCAATCACCATTAACGGAAGAACTCTAAAGCAAGTTGTCTATTTTACCGACCTAGGCAAGGCAGTATCGTTTTAACTACAAGTGGCACAGGCACAGATGAGGACGTCAAAGCCAGGATCAGAAAAACAGCAAGACAGGCCTTCATCAGTCTGATACCAGTGTGAAGATCTACGGCACTCAGCACAAAGAACAAAATCCGGATTTTCAACACTGTTAAGTCAGTGCTTCTATATGGTTCGGAAACTTGGCGTGTCACGAAAAGCATTTCCAACAAACTACAGACATACATCAACAACTACCTACGTTGGCTCGTTACTGAAGATCGGATGGCCAGGAAGAATAAGCAACAGGGAACTCTGGCTGACAACAAAACAACCCAGGAAGAAGTCGCTCAACAAATATGCAGAGGGAAGAGGAGATGGATTGGGTATGCACTGAGACCATTCGGGGACATCATGCGCCAGGCACTCGAGTGGAACCCAGATGGGAAACGGCGAATTGGGCGTCCAAGGGTTATATGGAGGAGATCGTGTGAAGTAGAAATGAGAGCTTTTGGGCTTTCATGGAGCCAGGTTCAAAAGACTGCAGAGAAGAGAGTGCACTGGAGACGTGCTACTGAAGCCCTATGTTCCACTAGGAACCCAAGGGACAAATAATTAAATAATAATAACTAGGCTAGATGCAAAAACTTGGGCACAAGCGTAATGAAGAACTTACTTTCGGCATTTTCAAGCGCGTGTTGATTCATATATCCACTGCAATAAGCTTCCGCAGTCAGTAGAATTGGAGTCCACTCGATCGAACCACTTGGTGCACAAGGAACAGGGAAAACAGTCATATCCGCAGGATACGAAGTTATGGGTTGGGTTTCTTGAAGATTAGATTCTGGCTTATTTTCTATAAGCAAAAAAATTAAGTTGAGAATTAACTCCCATAAGTACCCTTGTTTGAGGCAGCTGGGTGAGCGTCCGGAGTACGAGGTAAGGCTTTTGACACTCCATAAGAGCTTAAGAGATCATGCTGATCAGCACAGGCTTCTGCAACCATACTACAAAAATAGATGCTGTATATATTAACATACAGTTCTTGCAGCATATTTTTCGTTAACAAATTCTTCGTAGGTTTGGTAACCTGAGGTTTAGGTGTCCGGTTCTTAACAGCCTCAAGTTTGGCTGATGTCTGTAGGAATATAAAGATTGAAGCGTTGTACCTCTCTATCAAATAATTCAACGTTCTTTTGTGAAATATGATCAGGCAAGTCAGTGTTCCTCTGAAATGCTACATATTTTTCGGCAAGTGTACTAGCAGTTAGGCCCCATTTATCCTTAAGATGGTTGACTAAATTTGCTTATTATTTCTAGGATATTATTTACATTTTTCAATGACAATCTTATTATCAACAACAAGACCGAAGACTTGCAATTCATCCTCAATATCATCGCCCGCCATCAGACAAAACACGCGCTAGAAACGGTTCCATCCACCTTTTATACGAGTAAACAATCTTAAATCCACAGAGTGAATGTTGTTTACATACAAGGTGTAAAATTCAGTGTTAAGGACTTACTATATAGCAATTTACTCGACAATATTTAAGTAGTGCTTGACTTTTCTGGGTATTCTATGCACCAGGTGCTGGTTTTCACAATCTGATGTCTGCCTAGGGTTCTCACTATTATGCTTCAGTAACGTCCGTAATTTCAGACATGAAATGTAATAGATGAATAGTTCCTTGAGAGTTTGAAAAGTTGATGAGAAAGCAGTTTCAGAATCTTGAATAACTTCGAACGCTGATGTTTTACGGCTAGTCCAGCATTAAATTTAAAACAGGATGTAAAGCAGCAAACATTCATACGAATGGCCGAATTTTAGCTAAGCTTCGACTAAGCTTTTCGAGTTGTGTTGTGATGCCAAGTAATCTTCGAAAATTATTGAACTAGGGCTTGACAAAATTCCGACCTTCATAGTTTTATCGGCATTTTAAACTTGAAGATGTATGACCAAGCACCCAGGTCAGTCGACATGTTGCCACATTACGTTGTGTTCCTCGTTCGCGACCCCCTAACCAGCTCTTATGTGTCTTGGTATACTGGCACAATACAAAGGCTGCACGATTCATACCTGGCCAACCAGTTGTGCCTCCATGAATTTGCGTTAGTGGGTATCCGGCAAGTATCGCTCCATTAATTTAAGTAGATGTGCATGCATATATCAGTGTGGAACCAGTGGTGAAAACCCAAATGAAAGGAAGTATTTCTTCGCTCAATTCGGCCTTTTTCAAGTGCCTAATTGGGAGTTTTCAATCCGCAGAAGACGGAGAAGAACAGAATACTGAACAGTTATGTGAATTATATTGTTTTGTTGGGTGCTATTTTTTGACCAGTTCATGTCACTCTTTTATTTTTGCTCACAGTTCGCTGGCCCCTAGTTACCGTTTAACATCACAGAGCAGAAACATATTGATTCTAGAAGGGCTAACGTTAATGGCCAAAGTAGAATAATGGTAGCGGTTCAGTGCGTTAATTCACACATTATCAGTTATCATTTTGTTTGCTGCGGATATCCAGCGCCAGAACACAACAGTTCCAGAGACTATTTTTAAATGAAGGGGATATGGTGGCTGGGGAGTTTGCCATTGTTGATCACTCCCAACTCCTTGACTTATATTGCTACCTACCATATTATCCTTAAGATTGTGGTATCATTACTTCGTCGTGAGTGTTTCATGTAGGTAGATATGTCACCAAGTTTTGGCGGGCCTCAATGAGTAGCAGTCCTCATGGTGCTATTCCTGACTCTTTCCTCATACTTTTCTATGGTAACAGGTTAGAAAAGATGGACGGGTTACCGCAAACGTCATTTGCTCATGATTTAAACACCTGAAGATGTATGGAAATGATGAAGATAGGCCTGTATTTCAGGATTACCCTTTTAGTGAGGTAAGTGAATGTCCCAAATGATTAAAGCTAGAAATCAGTTCTTGTGTATATCATGAATTCAACTCCAAAAATTAACTACCCTTACCCATTGTCTTGGATGAAAAAAGACCTACAAAATTATTTTGAGCGAGTACATGGGTGTGATGATATCCAGAAAGGCATCTGCAGCTAAACACTTCACATACTTGTTGATTCGTAGGTAGTCCAGAGCAGCGATGGATATATTTTCAGGATTTTACGCCAAATAAATGCAAGGCCCCATTAGGATCACTAAATGGAGACAACCAGTTCATTCTGTGTAAAAACAGTCCATTAGCCTGCATCATGTTATAAAGGATTGGCGCCAGACAAGTTCTGGCCATCCCCCCTTTGAAAAGGGGTTGGCATTTCGCACCGTTAGCAACATCTTATATGTCAGTTAGTTTGATTTATTTAATGTCATTATTACTGGAGCGTTTACATACCATCAAAAAATCTAAAGACCGCAGTTCTTCAGCTGTTATTTCGGACTAAAACTCGATCAATGATCTCAGTAGGAAGCTAGACCTTCACTGAAACCACTGCAGCATGAATTCAAGCAGGCCCTTTAGAATGCTATATCTGTCTGTGAAAAGTTAGAGCAGCTTCTGCAGACTGCAACACTCCAGATTCTCTGTCGAACATTAGAATATTCTCTGGATGTAGAAGTCAATATTCTTATGTCTGTTGTACCATAACGACTTCATCTTTTACTCCCTGCTACTCCGTCCGTAATCTACGCCGACAAACAAGTACCGAACCTGACCACCGCCTACGAGTCCAGGACTGCACACCTAATATCAGCACATCGGAGGAAAAGTCAAAGCAAAAATGGCGGGCAAATAAAAAACAATGTCAGTCCGTTGGAGAATATACAGTTCAAGGAGGGAAGGTCAAGGGAATAAACATACACCAAGCGTTTAGAACCGAAATAAAGCACTTATGTCTGTGTCACAGGGAATAGTTTTAAACTACGACATCTAAAGTCTGCAATCATCCGCAAATATGAAAATGATAGCTTCATTGACTTTTCATTCGAATGGCAGTCTTTTCAGCAGTTTGGTCAACACCATTGGCCCCCCCCCTCGATGACTCCGCTGGTTCCAGTTTACAACCAGGCCCCTCGTAGATATGACTTTTATTTCTCATATTTTGTAAAGCATCCGAATTTATAATCACATTCTAATACATTTGTGTCCAGTTTTAGCCACCTAATAATAATAATTATTATTGCTGAATGTACAGGCAAGCACCATAAGTTGCAGTATAGCTTACACGTATCTTTATGACAGGTGGTCTCAATCCCCACCTTTTGTCACCAGAAGATGTAAGTGTTGCATGTTTATATGATGGAACATCTCAGCAGGATCAGTGTGCAAAAACTTACAAGTTGGAAGAGTGGAAGTATTGTCTTTTTTGCATTGACAAAAACACCAGGTTTATGACTCCATACCACATGTATTTCCCAGGGAAAAATGAAGTCTAAAGCTAGTACTTCCATTGTACCAGCTTGTGCTTGTCAAAAACAAGATATTCAGCGAGGAGGACTCTTTTCAAGGAATTTATTCTCAAGCTATACACCCACGTATGTATAGTATTTAAACTCTTTAAATGTCATACATATACGGGATAACGATGAAACGTTTATGAGAGAATGTATACCCAAACTATTCATTTATTGTACTTCATTTATGATTTCAGAACTGTATAATTCACGTACGCTGGTGCCATTTCACATCGGAGATTCATACTCTTGGTGAATACTACGACTGAGAGCCAATATCTTCATTTTTCCAGCTCCAGCATCCAGAAACAATAGACTTGTTCAAGTGCTTCAAGGGGACCCCTAAGACATCTTGTCCGCTGTTTTCACGGGCCGTGACAGCTTTGTGGTCGGCAAGTGTTGGACCTTCCTGATCACTTCTGTAATGAATAAACCCTTGGTTTTGATAATCATCAGGTTACATTCCAATGAACGTTCTTTGTTTCTGCTTGTTGTAGTTAGGTGTTGTGAACGCACTACCACTGGCTACCGTCCATGGAGGGTGGTTTCAACCGATGCCTGTTCCCTAAATAATTGGTTTTCGATGACAGCCAGGCCAACAGTTGACTTGCTTTTCTACGACGGGAAGAAAACAGTAACCATAACCTCAACAGTTTGTAATTGACTTTTGTACATAGGTTTTGCTGCAGGGGACGGTTTTTAGCGGAGTTCATCACCAGTTTGAGCACACATCCTTTGTTTGGAATCCGAGTGTTTTGAACTGTAGTCGGCTTGATTCGAACTTGGGAACTCCAGAGATTCATATCTTTACGAGCTGCATATTTACCTCGGCCGTAACGAGAGTTCCTCATTCCAGCCGAACTTCTTTTTGGCTGACGGTTTGAATCACTCTCCTTCAGGCTTCAGTTTTAGTGTTTGATACACTCCGTCCACAGAAACGTAGCTTCTGAAGGAGTTCGAAATATCAAACCAAAATACCAGAAGAAATATTTACATATGTAGATCAACTTGTTAGTGACACTGAGAACAAAGTGAGTGTTGATGATGGTCGATATAATAAGCATAATTTATTCAAATGTAAGAGACGTAAGCGTTCTTTAGGGGAGAAAAGGCTAGAAAAGGATTGGGATCAGCGGTTGTCTCATTTCGCAGCGTCTCAGAGGTTAAGGACAAGTTAAGAAGTTATTCCAGGGTTATGAATGCTGTAAGAACACTTAAATCCTGCAGTATACAAGGTACCTTGGTACTTGACTTGAGAAGTTGTTTGAATCCAAGTGCGAACACCATCTTGCCAAAAATGGAAGTGATGTATTTCGGTGGACAGCTAAACCTCAAGTGCGTCTTACCGAAAGTAGTTATGGAGATGCGCATCTCTCCAGCTTCCTCAACCTCATTTCTAATTGTCTTGAGGCGTATGAAGCATCCGCTCCTTTGGCTTCCATGTGATAAAACCGTTCGACCTGGCTTCCAGCAACATACTTTTTCGGAGTTTGTGTGCAGTAAGTAGTCTCAGGCATCCACCGAGATGGTTGAAATCACTTCAACTTGATCGCATTCAAAGTGCCGAAGCCAACACAGTGATGTCAACTCCTAAGCAAGCTGCAGATACGACTGCACGAGATGGCGTTTTTGGTCTCCTTTCGTATATGACCTTAATTAACAGTGTTCGCAGCTGCTTTATCGGAGGTGAAGATTTTCTGTACGCCGTTGGTGCGAAATTCGTTCATTTAGGTCGTAACCACAAGCTAAGCAACAGTCTGACTATCTTTCAAGACGAGCTAAGTAAGGTTGCTTCCTGGCTCGCATACAACCTTCTAGAATTCAGTACCAGCAAGTGCAGATGGATCTGCATTAATAACGGCGACAGTGACTTGAATACTGGTGTATCTGAACAAGGGTTACCAAAACTTGAACTTAGGTCTAAGGTATTCCGGAGACTAGAGTTTTTCCCAACAAGCAACTTATAGCAGAACTGAGTCACACAGATTCCCGGGATATATCATCCGGAGTTTCGATAAT